AGCTTCCTGTATGGATTTGTGTTGTAGTGAAGAAATGCATGTGGCAAACAGTTTCGTCACTGTCAGAAACACAGTCGTTAAGTGGATAAAAGTAACAGAGAGTGAATAACTGCCTGTCTCTGGCAACTCTCTTTTGTTCATCATAAATAAAAGCAAGAAACCTCCAATTACCTTTTAAATGGCAGAGGGAAAGTATAAAAAACCCTGAACTGACTGGACTGGGTGCATCACTATTTTATGCCAGGAAAGAAAGCAACCTAATGCTATAGAGTGAGGGACCTCCAAAAGAACAACCCTTCTCCTATGGAGACAAGCAATTTTGTAGGAACATGCTGGAATAGAACCTAGCATCAACAGCAGGAAAAGCTGCCACTGTGAAGATTAGTCATGATTTCCCAAATACAACTCAGAGAAGGTAGCATTTTAGAGGACACAAACTCAGAGACAGCCAAGATTCCAGGTAACTTCTGCTTAAATGAAAGGTCAGTACTTTGTATATCTTGTCTCTGCCACTTGCTCATGAAGCACCTCTCACCAAAACATAGCTCAGGGTAAATATGGCTTACCCGTTCTAAATTTGAGCACTGCCACAGCTACCCATTTACCACCCAGCCCGGATCACTAGACAGGTTTATCTCAGGCTTAGCCAGAGATAATTCTGCAAGTGTCACACTAAGAACAGAGCAGTTCGACATCACCAGTGGGTACCAATTGATCTCCATCAACCAGTGGGTGCCAACTGATTCTCCAGCCTCCAGCTTCTACCCAGCATTAGGCCCACAACTAGGAAGGATACTAACAAATTGAAAAGGCAAAAAACCAGTACTATGGATTAGAACGGATGAAGGAAACGCTGCTTACCCTGAAGAAAGAAGATGAGAAAATAGACAAAGTACAGAGATGAGTCCTGGAGAAGGTGACCTGAATTACAGCAGTTCATGGGGCAGTACCCTGGAAGGGTCACCCTCCAAGTACATAATTAGTGCCAGGCCTGAGAAAAAAAACACTGTTACTAAATTAATGTAGCCAAGGGGAGAGGGGGGAGCTTGGGAATTGGGTGGACAGGGCACAGAGGGTACATTTTCTTTTGTAATATAGAAGGAGCAATGATGGAAGAAGCAGACTTTCCTCACCCACAGCCAAGTCCTGGTGAAAATCAAGAGAAGCCACTGTAGATATCAACTCAGAAGACCACTGCTGCTTTGGTAGTGTGGTAAGGCCTGAACAGTGCAGATAGCTTTCAAGGAAAAGATTTTGCTTTAAAAGGTGAAGAACAAAGCTTCCCCCCCCACCCCCCTTCTTTCCCTTTTCCCCCTCCTCCCAAATAAAGTGTAAACATTCAACCCCAACACACTGAATTCTGGATACCCTTTGTGTGGCTGAATGTGCCAAATTTTTGCTAACCTGCATAGAAGAATATTATTCCCATTATGTCTGCAAAAATGTAGAAACAAAATACAGAATTAAAATAGATGAAAGATGAACAGTAAAGGGATTAAGGTCTAAACTGTTAAGATTTACTCTAAAAATTTAGTATTTTATTCTAAAACTACATATACAACAATGTATTTGTAGACTTAATTTTTCACTCTTAAGGCCATGTTATACTGAAGAGCATGAGTTAGGCTGGGCTGTCACATCAAAGGACACCTGGAAGGAAGCAGGAGATGCAGGGGAGGGGGGAAAGAAGGATGTAGTCTGGAGAGTTCATAAACTATCTCCACTGAAGAGGAAAGAAAGACAAGTTAGATGAACGGGAATGGGGGAAACATTAAAACACATCAACTACGAAGAAAAGACTGAGAACAGACTTTGCTCGAAAACAAGAACACTAACAGCTGCCCTTACCACACCACACTTAATGCAGACTTTTATAATTGCCTTACTAGTAGGAGCATATCCCCACATGATATATATACACACATATATACATTTGAACAAAAGATGACAAATGAAAAATCATGCCAATATGTCGCAATTCCTTTAAACAGAAGTTATAATATTCTGTTTAAGAATACAAATTTGAGGTCAACAAGCCTTTGAAAAGACATGCTCAGAAGTTGAAAGTTTATGATGGACATAGAAGTCCCAGAGGAGAACTAGTCATATACAGTTCACTACAGTTTTATAGCTGAAATGTAACTGTGCTTTAAAAAAATAAAATATAAGAAAACCAGAAATTACACGACTCACTGTGCCTTGCCATTCTTGAAAACCTTGCTGTTATTCCTTGTTATTCCTAATAAGTAACCTGTAGCACCTGCACCTACAGAGCAACTTGCACCCCAAAACTGTGCTTAAATTATCAAACAACTTTCAATCCAAGTATATAAGCACTATTTTTGTGCTTGTCTGCATGAACCTGCAAAGGCCACATTCCCTTTCACTTCCTTGCTCTTCCTTGAATGAACCAGAGCTCCCCCAAAGTAAGGCATGTCTTACCCAGAGAGCTCCTCAACCCTAAGGCAAACCGTTGAAATGGGAACCTACCATGAAGCTAAATAAATAGAATCAAGTAAAAAACCACATTCAATCCACAGAAAACAAAATACAGTATCAACCTACAACTTACACAGTAAGATCAGAAAATAAATTATGACAATCAGCTCAAGCAACGAAGAGTATTACCAATATGACACAGTCTGATTAAGTAAAATTATAGAAAAACTCTTTAAAAGATTTGACCAGTATCTGAATGGATCTTTCTTCAACAAACAACAAACCATTCTGAAACTAAAGCAGGTAGACACGTAAGCCTACATCTGTTGGAAATAAAGAAGTCATCAATATTTCCTTTCAATCAGGAAATATGCATATAGACATATTTATCAGGCATTCTGAACAGATCCCATATCATTGCTTGCTCCATAGACAACAATCCAATTCTCTCTGCAGAATGCAGAAATATGGGACAAATATGTGTGAACACTTGAGCAATGAGCTCTGTAATTAAGCTTGCCTCTTCATGAAAGATCATCAAAGCATGCAACTGGGGAAAAAAAGCCTCAGGGGCATAGTTTTTCTTCTGTGATCTTTCTTCAGTGGAATCCCTCCTACATCAACCTGGGAAGAAATTCTACCCTACTGTAAAGAAAAAGCAGAACCAAAGCCAAAATATATTGTACTGGAAAGAAAACCAGCATCTAGCTAGAGCTAGCTCACTATCCTGCAAATTTGCAAGATAGACATGCCTACATACAAGGAGGTGACTGATACTCATACTGCGCTTCACTTTCCCCTAGGCCTTTCAGGGAAACTGCCAAAATATTCAATGTGTACAATACAGTGATTTAAGCACCTCTCCAAACTCTCAGAACTATGGTGGTTTTCCCATATTTTTTTGCCATGTGCCGTGTGTCTGCAACTAGTCCTACCACATGCCTTGTCTAGGCAGTCATGATCTCTCTGTGAGCATCCTTTCTTTACTCTCAACTTCCACTTCCTTCACTGCAGCTCTCTAAAGCAAAAACTGCCTACTCATCTGTAAAACAGCCTCCATTTCTATTTATTGTGTTTTCAATTGTCATAAGCCATATATATTAATCTTATTGCTTTAGTCAAGACTGTCAAAGCACTCACCTTCACTTGCATGCTGTTATTGCAACATGGCAGGGCTACCAATGATCAAAAACAAGATTTATTTCAGGTTTTCTGTATACTTTTGCATAGTCAACCACAGTATTTTCCTATTAGATTGTTTTGCCATTAGTTAATCTTCTGTGCCAAAATTCTGCTCAGAATGTCAGCTGCTGTGCCACACAATGTTGCTACTACACATATTTTGAACAGTGAGGAAAAAGCAAAACCCACTTTTTTCCAAATAATGGCTGATAACTGAAAGCAGGCCCCTCTCACTCTCTAGACCTCAATTATGACTGAGTAATTAGGAAGAAGTAGTTTTCGTAAAAGCTGCAGCTGTTTTGTCAACATAATCCCTCAATGGCAAACAAGTTTAATTACTCATATTTCCAGTCTCCATGCAGTTTAAGATTACACAGGACTACAACAACATTCCTAATTCAAATACCAAGTGTGACATGTTTTGAAATTTAGTTCTCAATTTGTAAAAGTGCTATAGAATATAGACAACAGAGAAACCCCAGGGAACAGAAAATGGACATCCTGCATGATGCAGAGAGGCAGGAAGAAGACTGCCTGTGTCACAGAAAGTACTGCATAGCCTTTGCAGCCAATAAATAGGAATAACCTAAGGCTACATGAACCAATCTCTCAAATCTCCAACATCAAAAAATGCATAGCTTCTTATTTCATTTTATTACTCAGTAAACAAGAGAAATGGTTACAACCAAGGTGTGTTACAAGTCAAAACAGGACCTGAATATGGTGCATCACAGCTTTCATCATGAAGAATTCAGCGTTTTATTTCTTGACTACATTTCTGTGTAGCAAATGCATGCAGTTGCGATATAAAGCCAGTCCTTTTGCCCTCTGCAGCTACAGACTTGGCTTAGTACCTTTCCAAACATTGTATCTTCCCAGGTTTTAGACAGGCTCTGAACCCATCACACATTCCAACTGCTTCTCCCAGATTAATTGAAGAGATTACTTTGTACTAGAGAAGAAGCAGCTGGGGAAGGAAAGTGTCATTTAAACATGCACTGGCAAATGATACATTATATTTCATGCAAGATACTAAGTTTCCATTATAAAAAAGAAAAATGGGTTGCGCGGTTGGGGAAAGGCAAAACTTCAACAAGCAATGAAACGATTTTTTTTTCTAAATGAAAAGACATTTTCAGTGATGCTCTTATTTCTTAAGAACAGAAATGGCAGTAGGAAGGGAAAAAACCTGAAATTATGCAACTTCACTCACACACCTTCTGGACCTTAGAAACTCTCATACTATGTGATTCATTACTATAATTACATTAGTAGGATGATTATCAAGAGAAAAGAATTGTTTTTATCTTGCTGTTCTAAAAATTGAGTATAAAAAATTGAACACAATCAGCAGCTGATGTAAAAATTTAAGTACTTACTGCGTAGGAGCCTATGAGGAATGCAGCGTTTGCTTGCTTTTTCTGATCAAAGCCAGTATAATGAATTATTTTCTTCCTTATCAATGAAAATGACTGTATCAAGAAATGCACAAGATTATGATTTTGCATTTTAGACCTTTTACACCTTCTTTTATAAAACCAGAAGAATGCAAGAGTTTGTTTACCTCCTTTCATCCAGCTGTAGTCAGAGATCCAAAAATACTGTGGAGTAGTCCCTCAGAAGATTTTGAAAACTGTATTGCATCCCTACCTAGATTTTTCCAGTATTTTTCCCAGTATCTAGCCTAAATAATTTTGATAGAAATTATTGAAATACTTTCTTTTTCTTCTTAAATGCATTTGTATTTTTAGTTAGCATTTTTTATTTCAAACCTTATGTAACAGATAGCCATTTATGAGAATAGAAAGTGGCATTCTCAAAAGCATTACAGGTATATTAAGTTCAAAAAAATTTTAAAAACAGAGTTTACACCTTTTCATTCATTTTTCAAACCCAAATGTAGATAAATCCACTAGCATTTTTTTCTAAGGATCAGAACCATGCTTAGATTAAAATATTTTTTGAAATGATTCCAAAACTTTATCATAAATACTTTTTTTAAGTGTCATCTTGGCTTGGCATACAGTTTCTCCATTTATTTTAGAATGTGGGTGTGTTGAGAGCTTTATAACAAGCTGGCTCCTAGATAAGGGCCACAGCCAGATTAATCTGCCCGAGATACAAACAGGGGAAATGTAGAGGATTTTGTAGATAGTTAGCTAGCTAACAAAGATCATGCTGGAAGCAAGAAGGAGACGAGGATAAAAGCGGCAAGGTCACTGTGCCCTTGCTGAAACTTAAGGTTGTGGGAGAGGTTCGTTAGCTAGCAAGAATGAAGGAACGATAGCAGAAACCATAACAAGGTGAACACAAGAACGTAAATGTAGACGTAGTTGACTGATAAATGACTAACCAATGATGAGCTCAATTTTTGCAATATGCATTAGCCTTATTAACACTGCTATAAATGTGTGTGCCTACCCAATAAACTTCTGAGACTTGTTGTTCATCATCTGGTGTGCAAGTCTTCCTTCTCCATCATGGGTGGAATGGCATTTTCAATAGAAAGTACATACACTTGTGGTGGCAGTTATCCCCTGACTAGCCCTTGAAATAAATTCTGATGTGCTTGAAACTGCACACTTTGATCAACTGCTAAGCTGTCATAAAATGTCATCTTATGTGTTTAAATAGCAATGCTTGTTCAAGATACCAGATTCAATGCATTCAAAACAAAACAAAAAAAAACCCCGATCAGTAGCAGAAATATGTTCTCAAAAATCCTGACATGTCAGACACAAGACATGGAAAGGGACTATAACATAGACTTTTGTTGCTTCAGAGCATCCAATGTACAAAAATCAGAGAAACTCATCTCTGATGAACACAGTTATCCAAGCGGGAGTTTACCACCTCCCAGCCTGGACCAATAAACAGGTTTATCTCAGGCTTAGCCAGAGACAATTCTGCTAGTGCCCAGTAAGAACCAAGCAGCAACGTCACACCCATAGGTGTCTATTGCTTGTACAACCTAAAGAATAATAAAGCAAGTCTGAATTCTGCAAACTATCATCTGTGACAGGAATCAAGGAATGAAAAAAAAAAAAAACTTCTTATTCTATAATGTGCTGTATATTTCCTACTTCTCACAGTTCAGTGGCAGTATAAAGATCTAAGTAGCTTTGAAGGGGCAAACCATGATTGACACTAACAAAAATAAGCTTTTTCATCTGCCAAACAGGTTTTATACTCCAACATCTACTAAAGGTCAGCTAACTTGTAAGTTGTGTTATTAATGTAAGAAATCCATTTTAAACACACTATGCTTTTTCAAGAGCCCAATCCCAAGAATTACTCAGTTCCTGTAAGAGAAAATAATCTGTACAAGCAGAGCACCCACCTTCAGGTCAATGCTATCAATGTTACTGTTGTGTTATTAATGTAAGAAATCCATTTTAAACACACTATGCTTTTTCAAGAGCCCAATCCCAAGAATTACTCAGTTCCTGTAAGAGAAAATAATCTGTACAAGCAGAGCACCCACCTTCAGGTCAATGCTATCAATGTTACTGTTGTGTTATTAATGTAAGAAATCCATTTTAAACACACTATGCTTTTTCAAGAGCCCAATCCCAAGAATTACTCAGTTCCTGTAAGAGAAAATAATCTGTACAAGCAGAGCACCCACCTTCAGGTCAATGCTATCAATGCTACTAAAGATAAAATGTTGTTTATTATTGAAGAATGTCAGCAACAGAAGAGAAGACCAAATCAAACAAAAATAATTTCAAATAAAAACATAGCACTACACCTTCAAGCTCATTCAATATTGGCAGATTGCCAATACGACAGAATTCCAGGAAAAAAGCTTTTCCTATATAAGAGGCTGTATTAATTCAGCTACTGATCTTCTAGAAGCTTAATGATAGTTACTGCCACAATTGTGCATCTTCTCTGAGTGGGTAAGTAAGTTTTCCACCCTGATCCTCCTCCTCCCTAAATTCACCTCACTAAAATATAGCATTCATATTCAGAATTCAGCTGGATTAGGAAAACAGGAAAGTACCTGATCAATAATAGTAACAACAAAAGAAATGTTGGCCTACTTGTTTTTTTTAAAAGGCAGTAATATTGGCTTTTGAATCAAAACCCCAAGCATTACCTTTAATTTCCTGTTTAGCTTGCAGCAGTATCTGTAGACCATTGCCAGATTGAGTGGTCCAAAGTCTGCATAGAAACTGTTAGAAGAAAGGATAAAAATTGTACATGACCCATGTAAATGCCTTTTTTTTTTAACAAGATGCACAAAACAAGGAGTCATAATATACATGTGATATACATTCATTATTATAAAAATAAGCATGCATTCTTATATAAATACATACTGTTTTGTTGGAGGAAATGTTTTGTGATCTTAAACATGGACTAAAATTCTTTTGTTTTCGACACAGCACCATTCAAAACCAATACCCCAGACTTTAAGAACTATTTCTCACTACTGTATCACACTGTGACAAAAGTTTTTAAACTCTATTTTAAAAGGAACTAACAAGCTTTACTTTAAAAGAAGGCAACTCATGCTAGAGAAAAGGAAACACAGAGAATAAAGATTTATTAGTGTATTAAAAACCAGCAAGCATGTCCTTGATCAAAACTATTTGAAGAACTAGCAACATTCCATTTCATGTAAAAGACAAACACTGGTCACTACAGGGGAAATAATATATCCATTGTCAGCTCATAAAGGCTTCAATTGACTTTGCCATTTTCTTCTCTGATTCTAGGAAGTTGAGACATTCCACTTAATACATGAGGAACAAAAAAAGTCTGGCAGTACAATATGCACTTCTGAATTTTTATGGCTGTATCATGTTTCTGTGTCTTCTAACACGAATGGGTAAAATGAAAGCTTCTGCTTTGAAAATGTTTTTAAGAAATCCTGATGGAAAAGCAAGAAACCCTTCTAAAGCCTATAAATAATCATGGCACGCAAGTCTTAGAAGATTCATGTAATTAATTCTCCAATGAGACTAATTCCTCATGCTGTTGTTCTGACTAATTTATTTCTGTGAAAAAAGGAAAAACAAACCTATCTCGGTACTTACTTCTCATACACAAGTTCATCATCTATGCAGAAATAATGGGTATTTGCAGCTCCACTCTTTGGTTTTTGGTAAAGAATTGCAAAATAAAGGCGATCTGAAATGCAAGAAAATTGGAAGCTTTTATAAACATCATGATTTTCTGCTGAAACTCTGAAGTATTACTTGTCAATGGGACAGCATTAAATGGTTTAGAGTGAAGAAAATCTTCTTTTAAGTATTAAACTAGGTATTATCATTTCTCCAATTTTAAACAAACAAGGCACACAAAGATTGAGGCTTTTTGTTCAGCAGCGTTCCCATAATCCACAGCTCTTTAGGGTTCTTTCCCAAAGCGTTCCTTGTTTGATGACTTTGCAAAATAGCAGGAACCTGACTTGCACCCACACACACAGCAGACACCTCCTTTGGCAGGTTTGGTTGCACCCCAAATACCAATGCACACACACCACCCCCCAAACTAAAGCACAAGTCCCTCTGCACCTCTGATTCCCTACATTAAACTAAATGATAAAGCACACTCACACCAAACACAGGCACTCCTATCTGTAAAGACATGATTTTGACAGTAGTGCCATGCAATTAAAGCCTGCAGGTAACAGACTTGGGAGGTATCCAACCAGGTAGCCCATGCTGCCCATGGGAGCACCAGCAAAGCCCCACCTGGACATCTCCAACTGAATTCTCATCCCCATCCTAGCTGTTCCTTCAAAGCCTGTGTGCCTGCAGACAAGAGATACCTTGTACTTGGCCTGGCTTCCTTCATTAAGCTGAGGGAAAAAAGTAACAGCGGTATTCACATATATATAAATTACTTTTATGGCCGGGGAAGCTGAAGCCTCAGTGAACTTTAAACAATGACTGTGCTCCTGCTATAAATTGCTGTCCTTGGGGTAATTGGTCAATAAAAATTGAGACTTGCAGCACCACCGCAATACTTGTCTTCCTCCTGCTGAGAAAATATCATCATAAAATATTTGAATTAAAATTCAGACCTAAAAGGAAAGATTTCTTTTTTTTTCCTTTTTTTTTTTTTTTGTGAATTAATTCACTAGAACAGATATTATGCAAGTATCAAAACAGATCAAGTGTATGTATTATTTCAAAACATGATGAGGAAAAACTGTGTGTCAGTTTTTAGACAGCAGGGGGAAAAAAAATCACTTCAAGCTTCAAAACATCATCCATGACCACCACTTAGAAATCATCACCTGTATCTGTACATATATATATGTATGTACATATCCAGACATGCCCTGAAAGGAATTACCATATCTATATTTCAACAGTCACATGGTCAGTGCTCACCTACATACACTAGTATCTCCAGAGTGAAGGCAGAAAGGTCCACCAAAAAGAGTGCATTTTATTAATACCTTTTTCAGTAGAACAGCAGCCTGATGTGAATGGTTTGGCTTAAACATGTACAGGTCAGGAGCAACAGTGGGATGTATAGTACCTCCTAAGCAAGTCAGGCACCTACCTCCTTACTCTCTAGCAGAAGCAAGGCACTAAACTTGCTTATTTAATTTCTAATAGTCCCATTCTGTAAGCAGAGCAGCTTCAAGTACTAGATGTGAAGTGCATTAACTGCTTCTGTACTTCCCAGCACTTACCAAATCATTCCCTGAAAACAAGACAAAGGATAAAATTTAGACTAATGTGTGCATTTTTAAAAAGTGACTAAACCGGCTCACAAAGTGAATTATGTGTGGAGAAGCAAGCACACTGATACTTCAGCTGGGTGCAAAATATGCTATGGCAAAAACTGCTTCATAGAGAGGCAGTCCTGGGGGTGGACTTTTGGGGGTAGTTCCCCACCACTGTGTTAATCACTGAGCTCTGGCAAGGTGGATTTGAATGCATTAGAAACTGTAACAGGTATCCCTGGGCAATACTAAAAAAAATAAGAAAAGAAAATAGCGGGGAAAAAAGGAAAAACAAAAAAAGGGAGAAAAAAGAAAAAAAAAAGGAAAAAGAAGGCAAGAAAAAGGAAAGGAAAAAAAGAAAAGCAGAAAAGAAGGTAAAAAGCTGCTTTGCTGACTTACTTCTCTCTGCTCTGAGAATGAGAGCTAATGTATGCAGGAGAACCGAGGGCAAGGGAGGAAGCAGAAAGGAGAACAGAGAGGACGTGATATCTAGGGATTGTATTTAAACTGGCATTGCTAGATTAAACACATGTCACTGCAGCCCCAAGCTATATTTTCACACCACTTCTAAACTGATTTAATGGCTAGCTGCCACCAGGTTCCTTAGAAGGAAAAAAAAATTCTTCTGAGTTAGCTCACTGAACCAGCCTGCTGGGGTTTAAGAGTAGGAATATACAGCCAAAATTTTTCTCTCCATGGCATCCATTCTTAAGTGCCAGTCTAATTATTGACTAGACTGAGCTCTTCCTCTTCATTGTACACAAACAATAACCACATCAAAGTGTGGGAAGAATGGCAGTAGTACTCAAACCGAGTTCCTTGGGTACTCAAACACTACCTTTTTGCACTTCAGCTTCTTCAAAGAACCTTTATATCACTTCTGAAAATATAAAAGTACTTTGCAAAGAGCAATCCAAAATCTTCAAATACAAACGGAGGACAAAAATGAAAGTAAATATAATTTGCACAGGTCAAATACCTAAAATAATTTAGCATTTTGTTCCAAAACAGGATTTGGAATACAAGAATCACTTGCATCCTCAGTGCTTGTACTGTTACTGAAATGCTTCTGCAGCTTGCAAAAATGTCCAGTAAAAATAAAAATTCCTGTCCTGAGCAAGTAGTGTGTATGTAGCCTTCAGAAATGCTATTGGCAATGGCTCTGCTCTGGTATCTCTGAACTGTGTTCTGAATTGTTGCTATTCTTAAAACACCTGAAAGACACTTGAGTTTAATGAGTTTACAGAAGTACCTCACAATAAGAGCAGTGTGTGTCAAATGCCAGTATCCTGACAAGCTGTCCATTCCTGTGCGCTGCTAACAATTACTCCCTATTATGTAAACAGCAGGCTCCATCTTTTTAACATGTTTCCTAAGGGGAGATTTTAGAATGAAGAAATTTCCTGTAAGTGTGTTTACCTCTCTACTGATTACCAGTCCAGCATCTGACAAATGCTGTATTACTCACCAGGTCTGTTTTTACCTGGTTTTTTTCCCAAACACATTCCAAGTTCTATTTAATCAAGGATTACTGTGTTGTGGTGGTTTTTTTGTGTTATTTTTTTTTTTTTAACAGAAATTAAGAGAAAGGAGAATTCCTTCATTAAGGATTTGATTGCAGGATTGAGAGTTTATACATAAAATACACTCAAGCACTGATGATTTGATTTCACTAGGATTCCACAAAGGTTTGGACTACCAGGAGCAAGGCTTCACTTTCATTATCTTCGTGTTTCCTTTGCTAATTTTAGCTCTTTAGTATTTCATTTACATATAGTGCACTTGAGCACTTCCTAATTCCTGCAAATTTCTGATAAAAAATCATGCTAAAACTATCATACTAGGGCAGACCTTTCTAATCATCTCTCAGAAGAACGACAGAGTAGGGCTCACTGCCTTACAGGCTGCATCTGCTCTGCAATTAAGAGATATGGCTGCAGCATTTTAGATATACTTCAAATACACCTAATTTTGTCAGCCTTATATAACCAAACTGTTAAAATACATAAGCATGGATATCACTGCAGGCATTTAATTTGACTAAGCATCCAATGTACAACCAAAATGAGTCTACATACCCCCAACTGAGGCATAGGTTACCACAACTGTGTTACTGCTGGTACGACAGCTAGTGAGACTAAGGCTAGCACAAGCATGACTGTCCAAGCTGATTGCAGAGTGTTACAGAAGGAAAAGCACTCTGCTTGTTTATCAGAGCCACAGTGTTCTGTAGAAACAAATGTGTAGAAAACTGAGAGCTACCACTTCAAAATCACATTAATGTGAATTTAGAGATGAAAAAATAATCTCCTTCCTTTACTCTCAACAAGCCTGATGCTTCTCAGGTTGTGCTGCACAGGCCTTCAAGAAAGAAACTTTATTAATTCAAGAATTGCAGTTGGACTTGATCTTAGAGACTTCTTCCAATATAAGTGATTCTATGACTTTAATTGACAACTGAATATTAAATAGGCATTAGTGGCAGGACAAGTTTGCATATGTTCAGCAAAAATTATTTAATACAAACAGAAATTCTACAGTTCTATTGCTAAATAGATGCCCTAGATGAGAAACTCAGTGACTGACAGTACAACAAAACCCAGTGTTAGTCTGTTTTGAATCACCAGGAATGTAACCAAAGAGTTTTTACTATTTTAAGAGGAGTGTATTTCCGAATTCAGAGTTGGTATATGGAATTTTGTTGTGTTTGACTTAAAGAATTTCAACATATTTGTTGAAGATTTTCTTTTAAGACTTCCTATCCTTGAAAAAATTCATTCAGTCATCGTCACTATGATATTTCAAATTCAGGTGATGATAGACTTGCCAATTGGAACAACAGCTTGGACTCTGAAGAGGAAAATAAAATTACACTAAAAAGATAGAGGAACTTTTTTTAAACTAAAAACTAAGAAAGCCTTATTTTCAGTGCCATGTCATGACTGATCAACACTGTTACTTCACTTACATAGAGTGCTTCCACTCTGCTGCTCTTGACTGATACATGAGACTGCATATGTTCATGCACTTTCAGTGCTGGATTAGGCACTAAAAGCCTCAAACATGTATTTAAAATCTTAACTTTAGAGAAGACTCACAAGTAAGTGAGGTCATATTGATGAAAGAGTAAACACAGTTTTTGTACTGAGACAGCTGCATAATAAAAACTAATTGAAAATGTTGAGAGTAAAAATATTGGAAGCTTAATGATACTTATTAGAAGTGTCCTTAGCATTCCAGAAAAATAGTTTTCTATTGGGTACACAAAGTTTATAATGACAAACCAGCACTCCTGGAAAAAGACAACTTAATGGTCTGGAAAAAACCAACAAACTGCAATACAAAATCAAAAAACCAACACACATATCAATGAATACATTAAAGTGAATATTTAATTATTAACTCCAACTGACTATATAAGCAAAATAATTCTCAATGAAGAAAAACAAAATAGGTATGTACACTGTAGCTTAGAGCAGCCTTAAAGGTGTTGGTTCAATTCTGTAAACAAATTGGATATATATTCAACAGGAAGAACAAACGTCCATAGGTTACCCATGACACAATGTCACTTAAAACTTAATTCCATGTACAGTTATTGTAGTTATTTCATTTTAGAATTTACTATACAAAATAGGTGAGAGAGAAACCCACACGTTTTGCCTGAAGTTTATGCACTATAATTCCACCTCTTCTTTAAAACGTTTTTTGTAAAATAAGAGCAATGAGAAAGAAAAGCAGCTGAGGAAAGGAAATGAACAGCTTCCAAGCATCTCACAGAGCATTGCTACATTTTATTTAGATCATATAAATTACTTCTCTCAGAGATCAGAAGGATATGGGAATATGCTTCTAATAAACAGACGAAATGCATTTGGTTCCAGCAAATTGGATTCATACCAGCAAGACTCATGCACTAGTTGACAAAGATAAAATGATGAAGCTTACCATACAGCTTGACAGACTAAAATGAACAACTTTTTAAAAGGACAGCTTTTCTGAACTAGTCTTACTAGTAACCAAGAATATTTAGACAGTTCTAATTAATAGTTATTCTGACATATGGCTGATGCATACAATTAATTACAAAATAAAGGAATGCAATGATTACTGTAAGTATTGTGGGTAAAAATTCCTAGAATGGATTTGAAACTTTGCTATCTGTGAATGTAACATCACACAACAAAAGATCCATAAACCTTTACAGCAATTTCTGTTTATGTTCTCCTTCTGTCTTTTGCAAAGCTGAAAATAAGGATAGCCTGCAATGTTCTTAATAAGTTTGGCACTGTTTCTGTGAGCAGATAAGCTAACACAGACCTCTCAGCCTTTACAACGGTTCAAATATTTACCAGTGTGTCCACTTTTAAGAATAAGACCTTATGGTTTGCCTCCAATACACAACTATTAATTAACTTCTCAAAACTGAGAAGGCAGAACTGACATTTAAAAACTTGTCAGAACTTTAAAACAGCTGAACAAAAAGGTAAGGCTCTTACCTTATTCTTTTAAGATTTCTCTTTAAAAAAACCAAGTACGACATAGCAGCAAACTAAACATTAGACTATAATTCAAATCAGAACTAAAAATTGGACAGTAAACAGCAACCACTGCGCACAGCAAGATCAAGACAAAATGAAGCATTGCTAAATATAATAATCAAATTTACTTTAATCAAAGTAAAGTTAATTAAAGTGCACTTTAATCAAATTTGCTATACTTGGTGGTACTGCTGCACATGCTGCACATGCTGAAATCCCACTGAAAAAACACAGTTCAAAGCCTAGGTGGTCTACTGAATTTAAATGGGTGAACACTTTCTTGAAGGAGAAAGCACGGTAATTTAATGGGCTTGTTGATGCCAGACACACGTTACCAGGTCAAAGCAACTGCTTCATGAGAATGGTTAGACCTGTTTCCTGGAGACATGAGCTGGACAGGGCTGCATGGTAATGCTGGTAGTAAAATCACTTTGACACTAAAAAGTCGTTGTCTGTTACATGAGAGGTTTCCAAACTGACCTTAAAATCGTACTATCCTCATGTCCTATATGAACAGTTGCTGCTATAGAAACAAAACACATATGGAGTTGTTGGAACTTTAGAGTTCTGTAGATAAGTACATCATTATGTTTCTCAGTGTAGATTAGGCCTCAAATGCTGAATTTTTGGCTGGCATATTTAGGATTTTACACCCTGACAGTATTAAAGCTTTTTAAAAAGAAGAATCTGGTAAGCTTTGGCAGTTACATTCTTTCTACGCTGGTATGCCAAATTTTCAAAACAAAATCTTAGGGTTTTCTAAACATACTGTTATGTAGGAGACACATGAGTTAATATAAGGAGCCATGCTTTTGGCACAGAAATAAAAGGTACATTGGTGCCTTTTCTGCATGTTTGCTCTGTATATTTTTCCTTGCTCTGTCCACAGATATTTTCCATGCCCTTCACAGAGATCTGCTGGGAGGTATATTTCTTTCTTTTTATGAGAAGTTGTAAATACACTAAAATTCTGAGATTATGACATATGACTTAAAAAGTGATTTTGGGTGTTTTTGCCTTTAGGCAAACTAAACTCAAGCCCATCTTTCAGCTGGTGAAAGCTCAAACCTACACACAGAATTTTCTGGCTGTGATCCAACAGGCTTCTTAAAAGACACAGACTCATGTGCCAAAACAAAGCACGGCTCGGAGTCACGAAAAAGGAGGGACGACACTGAGCAATCCTGCCTGCACAAGCTGTTGGCACTTGCATGTCAAGGGGAGGTGCGACCATTATTTTACTCATTAGCCAGCAAGCCCGATATTACGGCATCAGGAGAAACAAATATCTACATCTATCTGTACATATATCTATCTATATAGATACAGATAGATTAGATATAGACATATTGGTGCGTGCGTGTGTGTGTGTATACATTTTCCCCGATACATGGAGAAATATGCTACTTTTTTCTACCCCACAACGTGTTGAACGGACAGAAACGTGTTTAACGTTGTTTTCCGTTCACTCCCTCTGGCAGGCAGAAAATGCCAGCAAGAGGCAATGGGTGCTGGGCACGGCTCGGGCTACCGGGACATCGGTAGGATGAGTTATCCCGCCGGACGAGCGGCGCAGCTCCCAACAACACTTGCCATGCCAGAGCTCCGGGCTCGGGGACTGACCGGCCCACCGCCCGGACAGCAGCGGCTGCCCAGAGCCCCGGGGTCCCGCCGGGAATCGCGCCACGGGAAGTTTTCCTGCCCAGCCAGAGCCGGCGCGGCGCCCACCGCCGGCGGGACGGGACCCCGCGCCGGCACCCCCGGACACCCCCGCCCCCCCGGCACACCGCCCTCACCCGCGATCCTCAGGCAGGTCTCCAGACCGGCGGGGGGCGGCTGTCGCCGCCGCTCCGCCTCGCCTCCCGCCGCTCGCGGCGCCGCGCCCCGCGTCCTCTTCAGAGCCGGCAGCGGCGGGGCTGCGCGGCGCCGCGCCTCGGCCCAGCTCTTCCGCTTCATGGCGGAGGCGGCCGCGGCGCTACGATCCCCTCATCCCGCGGGGACCGGGCGGCCGGAGTGAGGGGAGGGACCCCGCGGCGGCGAGGGCGGCGGCGGCTGACGCGTCCCCGCGGACACCGCTCCCTCCAGCCGCACCTTCGCCCCGCCGCCCGGCGGAGCGCCCGCCGCGCCCCCAACGGCCACCCCCGATTGGGGAGCGCGGGCCTGTCTGGTCGTGCGCCCGGCCCGCGCTGCTGACGTGGCGCCGGCGGCCCCCGCCATGGGGAGCGCGGCCCGCGCCCTCCGCGCTTGCCCTGCCTTCTCCTGCCTTCCTTCTCCTGCGGCCTCGCAGCCCTCCAGGTGCTCCTCCGGACACGTACCAAAAGAGGAGCCCAAGGACTTGGTACTTTGTGGAGCCAACTCCAACAGTCCCGCGCATGCAGGCTTCTGGTGTGAACGTTAAACGGACTTATCCGGAAAGTTTAAACAACTGTGTTTGAATCTGCCTCTTAGATACAGTGATACTTTAAAATACACAGTTACTTTAAAAGGCCATGGCACTAAACCAAGCTAGTAGGTGAAGCAGCTTTTGAGAACCTCTCCCTTCCCACCTCCGTCTGATGGCCACGATAAAAGCCTTCGAGGAAGTATTCTACCATCTGCAGAGCGTGCGTATTTATGGAGGAAAACCTGTTGGAAACATACCAGTTGCCACTATTCACTGCATGACTTTTTAAAAAATATCCTTTCTAAATAACACCAGAGACCTAAAATTCTTCTGACACTTCAGAAAAAAATTCTTCCAAGGATGACTGTGGCCATCGTTGTTCCAATTAATTATGAATGTGGGAGTCATTGTCTCGCAAATGAGGGGTCAAGCAAACTCTCTCAAGCTGTGACCACATGCAAAAGGCAGGGCCAATGCCCTGATTAGGACACTTCAGCTCTTCTCCTGAATCCTCCTCTTTCCTCCTCTCTCCTTTTGTTTGTCTGCAGTGTGTGAGTCTTTCTGAAGAAGTGATTTTGCTGGGATAACACAGAGGTTGTGGTATGGTTCCTGTCAGTATTGAAATAGTGAGGGTAGACGACTTCAACCTAAAGAGCTGTAAAACTACAGTTTAATTACTTCCAATATCTTTTAATAGTCCATAATTCTTTTAGCTGTAGTTAATTTTTTTTTTAATGTGCTTGTTAGGACCAACAGAACTATTACCATTGTATATTGTTTTAATTCTACTAAAAGCAAAAGAAACAGGAAGGCAGCTAGAACGTTTCCTTTAAAATCAAAAGCACCAAGAACAACTGCAAAATGAAAGTGGAATGAGAATCAGCGTCCTTAGCTGTGATTATCAGGTGAATGAAGCAGAGTGGAAGCACTACAAATAACCTGAGTATTTATCATTCATTGTCTTTGAAAATAATTTTTCTTTGTTGTCTTTGTTTTACAAACATATGATCAGTTTTGCAGCCTGCTTTTGGCTGTTGTTTAAGTAACATAAGGCAGAGAAGCAGAAGCATTCCAGAGTTCCTGGCATGCTGAAAAATATTGTTGAGCTGGGGGAGTGCTGAAGGGAGGAGGCAGCTCCTTATTCGAGACTGTGGGAACAGTGGTTCACGAAATGCAGACTTCACTCAGGCTCACAAGCTGAGCTGCCTGTCCCAGTCTGTTATGCAGAGTCTCTGGGAAGCCTCTGGCCAGCCCTGAAATCACAGGCGTTCAGAGTCTGCATGTGACTACCTTTGGCCCTGTGCCGAGTACTGTTTAGTCAAAGCAGGGAACTGACAACTGTATTTTTCCATTAATAAAATCCTTCTTCTTAACACGTAATATCAAAATAGGGGTGTAATGAATAAGTTGCTGAGGCATAGTATCTTTAATAGAATTACATTGTTCAGTATCGTTATGTTTCTTAAGCAAGCCTTTTATTTTTCATCAAGGAACAGAGCACTTAATTTCACATGTTCTTAATGATGTAAAGCTTTCCAGACCTTGCTCTGGGCCTGCCAGTGACCTTAATGGATCCAGAAGTAAACGTCTTCACAAAATGTCATTTCACAAGTGCATTAAAGCTTAAAAGAGGAGAAAATTTGCAGTTGAGATGTGTATGTATAGCAGCATTTTACAGTGAAGGTCAAAGATCAAAGGCTGCAGAGAAGGATACGCTCCTCCATAAATCTTGAACCATTTTTTTTTTCCAAAATGCTAAAAAGAAGTGTATCCTAGATGAAAGAGGGCACGTCTACTTTAATGAAACCAATAGATGTTGAACATAAACATCTGTAGATAAATGAATAATATGAAATACACCAGAACTGCAAGCCAGAAAGAATGCTGTTATGCTTACTTCAGTTGTCTAAGAAAGAAATAACTAAGAACAATTTATTCTGAGACCTCTTGCTCTGAGAGAAAATATGTACATACAAAGGAAGAACACTCTGCTGCAAATTTTCATAGGAACACAAATAATTTGGCTTACTCCAAAACTAATAATCTGATCAGATGCAAATTTAAGACACACCCTCTCTCTGGTCTTACATACCCAAATTTTTGTATCACACAAAATAATTGCAGGAAATACAGGATGATGTATTTAAAATATTTATTTGAATTTGTGAAATGTGTTTCATAACTTCTGCCACCACCAGATATAAATGAAGTCCAGGTGTTCAAAATTGTGACTTTTCAAGGTGTATTTCAATACAAAATTGTCATATAGTGCTGGAAGATTTAAAACAGTGCTGAACAGTCTTGCATTGAAAGCCATTGTTGATCTGCTGAAGGCAAGAACGCCAAATTCTTCCTGAGCAAAATCTGATTTCTTACTTTAGTGCCCCTTGAACCATGATGTTTAAAAAAACATTAGCAAGTTCATCTGATGAGACAATAATGAGCTCCAGGATTTTTTGCAATCAGTCTCAGCTGTGTTTTAGTTTTTATTATCTTGTACTCAACGGAAATAGCACTTTTGTATCCATCTCTAGTGTCAGGTAGTTTATTCTATGGTCTGATTTTCTAAATAAGGTTTCAGATGTCCCAGAAAGAAGCAACAGAACCAATGCTGTTGTAATTCACTGGAGAACTATTCTTGTAGAGCACAAATTGAAAGAAAAGTATATATTAAGTCAGTGTCATATGTCAATAATCTGGGGTTTGTTTGAGAAATTCACTGGTTTAACTCCTGCCAGCTGCAAGACTGTATTAATGGGAACATGATCCAGCCTGTTTTTATCAAGGTGCAAAAAATGAATTTCACTGCCTGGAATGAGAATAACATGTAAATTATTGAATAACATATTTATTTATTCAAAGATGTAAGTGAATTGAAGCAGCATTCTGACTACCTACCAGTTATCATACAAATGTGTACTAGTTCTGTAGACTGCACAATATTCCATATTTTAAACAATGACAAAATGTTTTTTAATTATATTAAAGAAGCAAGGAACATTGAGGCACTTAACTAGTTTAAATCTGCTGTAGCCGGATGTTTCCTAATAATGAGATGATTGTCATGTTGCAATTCCCCCTTCATGCTCTATCCCTCTAATAAAACCACATTAAATGTGGTTAAATTAAATTTTATTAAATGTGAAAGCAGCATGTAGGTAAATACCACGATGTCAAGAAAACCCTCCAAACTTTGAGGCAGTTGTTCCTTCGGCAATCCAACCAATTTTTTCAGGGCTCTGATCAGGTTTGAACCACCTCTGTGGGAGATGGGACTACACAATGACACTCTGCAGATTTCTCCATGGGACAGAAATCACGCAGTGCAACACCAGACTGTCTCCTTGGGACCCACAGGGACAGAAGGCAAAATGGCAGCAAACAGCTGAAGGAGACAGTGGTAACTTTCACACACAAAAAAGCAGCTCACCTGGGCCTATAATCAAAGCTCCTCCCTGCTGAGCAGGGTCGCCTTGAAAATCAAAAGCCGGGCTAGTCATTGCTCTCCATATACTCCTAATGCTTCCCAGAAGAATGTTTGATTTCACATGAGGGCTCCGAACTAAACAAAACCACAAAACACTTGTTATCTAGAAATTTGAAAGTATATAAGAGCAACAACAATTAACAGCTGCTATGAATACTTTAGATATTCCTGATTACCAGTATTTTCAGAAAATATAGCCTATGAGAGACAGTCTGGTAGGCAAATCAATTTCTCTTTACATTGCGATCATACTGTTTTATCAGAGCATTTTTGTTTTGTTTGTGAAAGTCTAAATAAGGTGAGAAAATTATTCTTACCTGATGCTTTACTACCTTCACCTCTTTTCATCCCAAGTATTTTATAAATTTCTCTTTGCGGATCTACATACATTTCATGGGTATACCCAGTTAAACTGCAAAAGGGCTGCAAAATATAGGCATAGACACAGAGTGACCCAGAAAAATAAAGTAATATTTGTAAGGTTAATGCAGCAACTAGTTAGGGTCTACTGACAACAGCAAAAATACTGACATCCTGCCAGCTCCATGCTCCCCCCTCTTATTTGAAAATGCTGTATTAGTTAGTTATGTCAAAGTGGAAAATTTTTAGCCTCAAAGCTTCTCTTAAAACAAAGCTTCCAGTGAAATCAAGAAAAGATGTTTCCTTAGCAACCCCTGGTGGTTTTTAAACTGCAAGTTTTAATTATTTGCTTTAGTCATGTATTACTATTAGAATTGCCTCATGAATACTATCCTTTTTTATTTTTGCAGAAGACCACCTTTTCATGCAAACCAAATCCCTCAATACAGACCATTAAGATAATAGAGGATACATTGTATTTAATGACTACTTTATTTACCTTGATGTGATGATATGATGACTGTCCAATAATTATAAGCCTCACATTTGATTCCTAGAACAGAACATGGGTATTGAAGCTGTAAAGAGGAACTGGGTGCTCCTACATGACTTCAAAACATTAGCAGAATCTGGTGTGCCGAGTTAGTGATCGCAGTGCACTGACTTAAAATTATTTGACGTTAACATAATTTCCATGTTTGGAGACTGCACTTTTGTGTATCACTCGCAGTTAGTAGCTACATTAATTTTTTAAGTGAACCATTATTTTTAAAGATAACTTTTACACTACAGTTGGGTAAACTTTAAGTTTCCTGTAGCATTTGTAGGATTGTCTTTTCAATTAATTGCAACATGATATGATTTTGGAAACTCAAAATTTCCACTCAGTTGCACCTACACCTAAAGAAGAAGCACAAAAATT